ATTCACGAATCTCCGCTTGAAGAGAGTCAGACTTTTGCAATAAACACTTATTTTCCTCATGAAGGGCACTAACAGCAGACAAGAGGCGAGCATTAACCGCTTTAATTTCGGCAAGCTCATCGGCCACAGTAGGTAAACTTTGTTGTGTAATTACGTTTCCATGAGTGTTTTTATTTTGGCACTCAGCACTCATATCCACTGCAGCAGGTGGAGGAGGAGAACGAAATGACTTACGGCGCACATCCAAACAAACATTACAAAAAAATGGCTTATCCACGCTCCGCATGTACTCAAGATCAGCCTGTTGAATGCCTACGCATTTGAGATGAAAAAACTCAATGCACTTCGAGCACTGCACTTTAGATTCAAGGCGCTCAACTTTATGCCCACAAACACAAGGCATATTAAATGGATTTACCAAAAGTTTATTCACTTAAATAAATCCAATTCTAATAAAAGAGTCACTGCCTCAGATTGATTAATATGCACCATGCCAATAAATTGCAAATAAGAACTATGGATTTTAATCAAAGAAACTTGGAGAGCGAAGAGAAACACAACTGCTCAGCGCGAACTCAGATTGCACATTCAAAACACACATTGTATGCGGATGACTTGAAAATCTATTCTACGATTTCTAATGCTTCAGACTCATTCAATCTACAAGCTGATCTTAATAACGTGGTTGCTTGGTGCTCCAAAAATAGATTAAATTTAAATACAAAAAACTGTTACCATATCTCCTACTCCAAATCACGTTCCATTACCCAGACTTCTTATTTCATTGGTGACTCGCAGCTTGCCACCACCATTGGTGAGGTTTCTGACTTAGGAATAATTTTTGATGCTAGATTTCTTTTTCACAGCCACTTAAATTATACCATTGCAAAGTCATATTCAATGCTCGCATTTATCCGTCGTTTTAGCTCAACTTCACTGATCCATATACCATAAAACTACTATACACTACTGTTGTTCGTTCTAAGCTCGAGTACGCTGTCTTCATCTGGCGACCATATTATAAATATCATATCAACAGAATTAAACGTATCCAAAAATCTTGTTTTCGTTATGCTCTACGCTCTCTACATTTCGTTGACCCTTTCCCATCTTNAACTTCACTGATCCATATACCATAAAACTACTATACACTACTGTTGTTCGTTCTAAGCTCGAGAACGCTGTCTTCATCTGGCGACCATATTATAAATATCATATCAACAGAATTAAACGTATCCAAAAATCTTTTTTTCGTTATGCTCTACGCTCTCTACATTTCGTTGACCCTTTCCCATCTTACACTGCTAAATACATGCTCATAAACCTTAAATCACTGCACAATAGGAGGATTATTTTTTTGCTTACTTTCGTTTTTGACATTATATGGGGTGCTATTCGCTTACTCGAACGGATTACATTTAATATCCCATCAAGAAACCTTAGGAATCATGACATTTTTTCTCTGGATTTTTTCAGGAATAATTATGCGTATAACGCTCCTATTCGCAGAGCTCTAAACGAGTTTAATTCGCTCTTAAACTCTTCTGCTATCGATTTCTCTTCTTCCAAATCTAATTTCAAACTTCTTTTAAATAGTATGCTAAATTAGTTATTAATTTATATTTTGTTTTTTACCAAATAGTCTGTACGAAATGTTTATTTTCTAGATTAATTAATGAATAAATAAATTAGTTTTTGTGCAAATTGCAGATAGAGGGTATTAATAAATTTAAGCCCTCGATATTTAAAATTGTTATATATGTAAGTTATTAGAAGATTTCTGCTGTGTTTTGGCAACAACTTGTCTGCAGTAAAAAAGCATATAATTTATGTTTCAAAAGTGTGTGAAAACCAATCTTATGATTACATGATTTCGGTTCCGATATTAAAAAATCAATAATCGTTTATACCCACATTTTGGCACATTGGCTTGAATGTGCTATCTAACAAATAGCGTCGTCGTTTTCCTTAGCTTCTTTTAAATGATGTCGTCACAAATTGATGGCGGAGACATGAATACAGTGTAAGAATATTCCTTTTCAAAATTGTTACCTTATAGAAAGGTTGGTTTCTTTTCCACCTAAGACATTCCGAATTCGTTCAAAACTGCTAATTTAAAACAGAGAATTCTTTCAGTGTTCCTCCGTGGTTTTTGGACATGGATTGTTTCTTCAATTGAATAGTGTTCGCTTTATTTTTGTGGAAATGAAACATGTTTTGCAAGTTCTGGATCATTTATACACACTTTCTTCAAATATTTCCCGTATTACTGCTGCGTTTTGCGTTTGGTTTTTCGCATTGGTGGTAGTTCATGATTGTGTATGAATTAATAGCATCAACTTGGGAATTTTGCAATAACCTTTTTCATCTATTAAAAAACAACACTTACGGGGCAATGTTTAGTGTAAGAAAACATTTTTTTTTTATAAATCGACATACCATAGGCATTGTTGACGGTAATTGACCTTATTTCCGTTGATCTTGTTACCTGTCACCAAAGCACACCGAGTAATTGATAGTCTTCAGGAAAAAAATTGAACATACATCGGTAATTTTTTTGTTTAGGATGCTTACAAAATGTTTGTGTTGTTAGTGACAATGTTGTTTAATTCGAGTGACATGATTTCACCAGCACCCAACTTATCACGACTTGGATGTTTAGGCAGACTCTCCCTCTTCAAACCCAGCACCATTTTATTTTCAGGGCCGTTTGAACCGCGTCTGGTTAATTCTAACTCCCTTTTAAAAATCGCTATCAACGTTATCGACACCCTGCATATAACATGTGATCCATAAAGCAGTTCTTGTTGTTGTAACAGCATAAAATTTCCCAAAGAGTTTTTGGGGAGTGCTGCTCAAGTGGCAGTCCTTAGCCAGATATAAATCTGGGTCGTGCCTGTTACGTAGACCCGACTGTCTTGGATCCTTCAATTAAATCTATAAAGCAGTCGCTGTGTTTAATTGAAGGATTTACCTCGCTTATTAGGGGGAATTACTATAACCTAGGAACGAGAAATGCAGGTGATGTTTTTGCAAAAACCTTTATTTTAGATTTGTCTGAAGCCTCCACACAAGATAGTATAACCTGTCTACCAGTCCAAGTTTTCATGTGCATCTATAAAAGATTTGCTGTTTTTTGTGAAGAATTGCGAATACCAGTGACGAAACTTTTTTATGGCAGAGTCTTCTTTTACTAGTTTTGGGTTGTTTCGAAATATTTTATTGTTCCACATAATAACATCCCGCTCAAACTGAAATAGTTTAAAAATAATAACTAATAAATGACTAATAGAAAATATTGTATTTATTTTTACCATAACACTTTCGGCAAAAATCATTAACTTCATAAGGGGTCCTAAAGGCTTTCGCGCATAGAATCTGTGAACTACCTTCTGAACTAGCGGTTCCATAGGTGTAACTGTTTGCAGTATTTCAATATGTCCGAATGCAAATGTTTTCAAATGTAAATGTACAAATGATGGCCCGATCTATAACAATATAATAAGAATCAAGTTAGTGAATGAGCATGGAATTTTATGCAAAACAAATAAAATAAATATGCCTAAAAACTCAACAAAATTTGAAAAATATGCATGAGAAATTAAGAAAAAATAGTTAAGGCTTCTTTTCATTATGGAATATTCGCTGACTACATAACTGCCAGCGATGTCATTCGTCCAAAAAGCGTTTTCATTACATGTCATAAACTGACATAATACCGATTGAAAATGATTGACAGGTTTTGGAGTTACCGCCCTATTCCCACAGCACTGACAAAACTCAGCGGCTTTACTACTGCACCTAATACTATGCCGCAAATTTATTTTAAACCCTCTTATGGTGACAATTGTCAGTGTTGTGGTTATGACCTACTGAGTACGCGACAACGGCGAAACAACCACAATGTTTATACATATTTTGTTTTAGGCGCAATAATTGTGACAATAGTCATACGATGAATTTTGCCAGTGTTGTGGGAATAGGGCGACTAGTCACTGCATATAAAAAAAAACACCTTGTAAGAAGAAGAAGAGCCTGTCCAGCTGTTTGTGAGTTATTGATGAAGTTTAAATAAAATAGATTGAAACTGCGGGAATAAGATCCCTTCAGGCTTCACAACTTTTTTCGGATGAACGTAGAGGATTTAGATTTTTTGGCAAATCATTTGACATTCGATTTTGGGAATTCATCTCAGTTGGAGAAAGATTGGCGGCGACGCTGCGATACTTAGCGGCCGATGATAGTTTTGGAGAAAACAGCAATTTTCAATATAATACGCGAAACCTGCGAGGCAATTTTCTGAACCCTAGAGGATGATTTTTCAAAAGGAAGTATAGTTTTGTGTTTGTATTAATGATCTGAATAGAAAGTGTTATATTTTTTATTAACACGCCAAATTCTTCCGGTGAATGGTTAGACATTGCAAACAAATTGGAAGAGAGATGGAGCTTCCCGAATTGCTTCGGTGCACTAGACGGGAAACATATTATGATTCAAGCACCTCTTAATAGCTGCTTCAAATATTTCGATTATAAAAGCTACAACAGTATTGTCTTAACGGCAATGGTAGACGCCGATTATAGATTTTTGTTTGTTGAAGTTGGAGGAGACGGAGGAGTTTTTGCAAGGTAAGATACCCGCAACGTACCAATTTTATAAAAGTGGTACCCCATGAACATACTTTTTGAAGTAAAACTTCTTTGGGTTCGGTTGAGGATAAATTAAGCTCTAATTCCAAACGAAAAAGCGACAGCTTTCAGCTCAGGCTTGTAGTAACCGGACAATGAACAAGTGGCCTTAAGATTAAAGTTCATGTTAAAGTTAACGTTAAGATTTAGGTTCAGTTTGAGATTAAGACAATTGTTTATTATTATGCAGAAAATACTCAATATGAGGCAATAGGAAGAAGTTTCATTTTAATCGCGCTTGGGATCCACACAATTTTTATACCCGAGCGCACATGTGTCCAAACTTGGCACAGTTGTTAGCCTTGGTACAACATACCAAACGGTTGAAAATTTTTCGACAATAACCACGCCCATATCCCATATAACGGTGATTTAGAGAAATACGAAAGCTTCGATAAATCAGTAAATACTAAAGCTAATTTATTCAAAATTGATGTTTGAAATAATTCTTTAGCGAAAAATACGCTTATGATAAAATTTTGGAAAATGTATCTCGGTAACCCATTGATCAATTTGTACCAAACTCGGTGTGAATATTTCGCTTGCAACACAAAAGCAAGCCGTTAAAATAAAAATCGGATTGAAATTACTCCCACTTTTCATATAACGGTAAATTTAAGAAATTCTTGAAACTTCGATATTTCGAAATTTATGGACGCTAATTTACTCAACTACTCATGGCCGCTATGGTGTAGTGGTAAGTAGTGCGCGCTTCTACTCCGAAACGCCTGGGTTCAAGCCCTGGTCAAAGCAACATCACAAAAAAATATAGAAAAAAGGATTTTCTTAACAGTGGTCGTCCCTCGGCAGGCAATGGCAAACCTCCGAGTGTATTTCTGCCATGAAAAACAGCTTCTTATAAAAACATAATCACCGTTCGGAGTCGGCGTAAAACTGTAGGTCCCTCCGCTCTGTGTGACAATATCAAGGCGCACGCCACAAATCGGAGGAGAAGCTCGGCCAAACACTAACATATGTGTAAGCGTCAATCTATTATTATTATTATTATTATTAATTTACTCAACATTTATACTAACAACAATTCCTTGAAAAGAAGTAAATTCTTATAGAATTTTGGAAAGTGGGCGTGATACCGCCCACATCTAACTATATACATAAGTTTATTTCATTAAGTATAACTGAAGATACTATCGAAATTGTTAGAATAGGGGTTGAGAAAGGTGAAAAACTATAGTTAATACTTCCGCCGAGTAGATAATGTTCGGCTCCATCCGAACTTAGACTTTTTTACTTGTTTTTTAATTAACATATTAGCAGACCCGGCGGACTTCGTCTGGCCGAAAATTAATTATTTATTTAAACATTTGGTCCAACGTTTTCACCAATAATTCCCGATCACGTTTGGTTTGTCGATGCCAGAAGGCATATCCTCCATTGCCATCTTAAATAACCTAATGAAAGAGTTATGTCCGTGAAGAAATTCTTATGGCAACACTGATCTGGTTCGATGGTGAATCGTCCTTGAATCTTTATAGTACTGTTGGTGGCAATTTCAAAATGGGGGAGTCCCATTATTCCACAGAAATTCAATACATAGACTTATGTCAGACGAAATACCTTAGATGTCTTACAATTGTATTTGTAGGCATTTATCAAGAACTGTCTTTATTCTGTTCAGTCCAGGGAACTGCATCTATTCGTGTTTTTAAATAATTGGTTGAATAACACAAGACATAGTGTTAGCGGATATTAGTCATTGAAGAATATTCACACATAAGCACTATTGGACACACTGGGAAAAATCCTCGAAAAAACGCTTTCTGTCGCCATACCAGTTTGGCTTCAGGAAATCTCGTTCAGCAATTGATGCCGATAAATCCGTAGTTGACATAGCCAAAGAAGCCATCGAAGGGAAAAGGTGGCATGGAGGCAAAAAGGAATACTGAGCTGTTGTAACGCTAGATGTCAAAAACGCATTTAACACTGAGAGCTGGCAGCACATAATGGAAACCCTCATAAAAATGGAGGTCCCGAATTACATTACCAGAAAAATTACATAGTTGCTATCTCTCTGAACGGGGATCGAAGTACCGGAGCGACAGAGGCATAGAGGCGTACAGTGTTTCCGCTGGGGTAGCCCAAGGATCCGTTCTCGGGCTTCTCCTGTGGAACTTAATGTACGCCGAGTTTCTATGCATCGATATGCCTCCTCGTGCAAAAATAATAGGATTCACAGACGATATCGCTGAATTAATAGTAGCGAAGCATATACAGGATATTGAAAGGAAGGCCAGCGAAGTTATAAAGAGAGTAAAGGTATGGCTATCATCAAGATATCTAGAACTCGCTTATCACAAAACAGAGATATCATTGATAAGTAGCAGAAATGCCGTAGATACAACGAGACTCAGTGTTGGATCAAAACTATCAATCAAATATTTGGGGGTATTGATTAATGGCCGCTTAAACTTTACGGTCCACCTGGAGTATGCAGCAAAGAAAGCATAGAATTTACAAGCATTTCTAGAATTATGCAAATATCGGCGGTCCAAACATAGTAGAAGGGTATTGCTTAGTAGAGTGGTCAGCTCAGCCTAAGACGGTGCTCCAATCTTGGCTGAAGCAATGAGCATAAAATATTATGCGAAAATACTTACATCTGTGTATCGCCTAAGCGCGCTTATTCCGAACAATATCTGACGAAGCATCCTTCGTAATTGCTGGACTAATTCCGGTAAATATCCTGGCAAACGAGATGCAAAGAGTGTATAAGCGGATATCTGTGGGAAATATCAGCTTCAACCGAAAAGGGGTTACAGAGCAGGAAAGTTGTCGCTCTATGCAGATCTAGCAAAAGCGTTGGGATGAATCGGAAAAGGGTAGGTGGGCTCATGAGCTTATTCCATGCATTAAAACTGGCTGGAAAGAGACCACGGAGATTCAAACTACTACTTAACACAGTTCCTTTCGTTAGGGGCGAGAGTATCTAAAAATATTTGGGCATGGAAATTCTCCACACGATCTAATCGAGCTAGAACCGGTTAAATAAGCCCCGTGAGGTAATTCATTAAATGGAAGTGCCGCGGGGAGAGTGGTTAGTGGAGAGGTTTTAGTACGCAGGTGTAGCTGTGACGCTGCAAGTCGTGCATACTACTATGTCGGTATAGTAGTACTCATGAGAGTTCTCTCTTCACGGGTGTCATCCCAGAAAAAAAACACATATGCAATGATATTATTTTATGCACGGCACACAAAGCGAGAGTATGTACAATAACTAAGTTCTCTGTTGGTATGAATTGGTGTAGTGCTCAATTCTCTCATTGAGCCAATAAACAAATTTGTTATACCGAAATGAATAACAGCAATAAGATGCACCAATAGTTCAGTCGAATGATTTTAACAATTTTAGTCTTTAGCAAGCGACAGCATGCGAAGGCACACTTGCTTGTATATAGTGGCATCCGTATGTGGCACAAAGCAGAACACAAATAATATTAAATTCAATCATTCTAATTATTGTCACTCTCCCTCGAACAAATGGGTAAAATCCAGCTGGTAGACAAGAATGATAGAATACAAGATTGCGCCAATGAGAGACGATTTTTGAGCGTAATTTTTGCGTGACGTCATCTTGATGCAATTGCGAAAGAGTAATGTCAAAACGCATAGGAAAATATGTAAACAATGCGGAAAAATGTGTTAAAATCAATATTAAATGCTCCAATTTCGCAGGAATTAATAAATATACAAAGTTTATTAAAAAACTTACTTATATCGCACACTTGCCTTTTGTTTTCACTTATACACTTTGCCACAGCAGACTTAATTTTGGCTTGTAATATTTCAATAATTGTGTAAAACTAAATGGAAATGTTTAGTTATTTGCCCACTTGAATTAGTGGGCGGAGGGGGAGTGGGCGTAGGTCTTGATATCTAACCCACTAGAAAGAGCGCAGTTCACACTTTGTAAAAAGTTACACCTGATCCTTCGAAACCTTCCACATACCCCTGGGGAACCATTGGAAAATGGTCTAAACTTAGCATATGACACGGGAAATGTAAACTCTGGACACCTTTGTGTCGTCAAAGGTATTCAACATTTCTTGTGTATATAACACCAGCTAAGCCATCCACAGTATATTTGCGTAGAACTCACTTCGAAATTCACAAAATATGCATTTTTCAGACCGAATTTATTAATAAATTAGTGACCACAAATTACAAAATTAGGTTTCACAATAAAGTGTAAACCCTTGACTACAAGCGTGTGTACAATTTTTTGGATCGGATCACCCATTCGGACACAATAGCCCGAAATCATTGGGAAAATAACTAAACCGTACTGCACGAAGATGACGTCACGCACAGAGCTTATTCTGTCAAATTCACAAAAAGCGGATTAGCGGTACCGCGATGGGCGCAATCCTATTTCCAATAGCGGATTCACGGGGGGCGGGGGTTTTGGGTAATGTAAACGTGTTTGGTATTTTTGAAAAGGTAATTTGTCCACTAAATTATTTATTAATTAATATTTAACTAGTAATTAAACAAAAATGTCCCTATAAAATAAGATATGTGCACCCAGAAACCCACTAAAGTCGACACATTTTATACTAAGAATTTTAATTACAGCGTAACCATGCGTAAGCTCTTCGCGGAAACAAATCTCAAAAGTACATTCTTTGAAATGAAATGTTGGTTTGACGTTATTGATTTCCATGTAGGTAGTAGAGAACTAGAGGATGGTTCCATGCGCAGAAGTGGAAAACTTTTGACTGCCATTCACCTGGAAGTAACCAGAAGTGATTCTTGTGTGTATGGTTCAAATCGCAGCCCACTACGTCCGGATCGAACTAAAGTGAGAAGGCGTAAAACTTCGCGTGCGCTGGGTTTGGGTCCCGCCACGTTAAAATCCCGCCCAATGAAAAAACCAGCCTCGGATGAGACCCAATTTTTTTGATGACGACCACGGCAAACATATAAAGGACTATGATTTAAGGGAATGCAACTGGAATATCCGGACCCTTAATGGGGAAGAGTGCTTCTGCCCGGCTGGTTAATGTCCTTGGGAAGACAAGGGCTGACATCACCGCCATCCAAGAAATGCAACACCTAACGCAGTTGCCCCGTATACATGTTAATATGTTGTGCTAGGTTCCAGCATAAGGAGACCCATCAAGCTACATGGCTGTCTCCAGATCGAAAAACGAGAAACCAAATCGACTATTTTGTGATAGACGGAAGGCATGCTTCCAGCGTTTAAGACGTATGTACACTCCGAGGACCAAACATCCACTCGGACTAATATGTTGTTGTAGCCAAGATACGCACCCGTCTCTGTGCAACAAAAAATGTGCGCCGAAAAGCTGCAATCACATCAGACGGCCAATTAATTCACCACTCGACTGACACACCTGCTCTCTGAGAGCACTTTTCAACAAGCGAGCAGTGGAACCACATTTCCCGATCATTAAGTACTGCTGCCGAAAAAGTAGTTGGATTTCAGCGAGCCCGAAAGAACAACTGGAACGATAAGGAATGCCAAGAAGCCGTAGAGAAAAAAGACGCCGCCTATAGGGTCACCCTGCGATCGGGCGCAACACGAACCATGTGGGACCGNAAGTAACCAGAAGTGATTCTTGTGTGTATGGTTCAAATCGCAGCCCACTACGTCCGGATCGAACTAAAGTGAGAAGGCGTAAAACTTCGCGTGCGCTGGGTTTGGGTCCCGCCACGTTAAAATCCCGCCCAATGAAAAAACCAGCCTCGGATGAGACCCAATTTTTTTGATGACGACCACGGCAAACATATAAAGGACTATGATTTAAGGGAATGCAACTGGAATATCCGGACCCTTAATGGGGAAGAGTGCTTCTGCCCGGCTGGTTAATGTCCTTGGGAAGACAAGGGCTGACATCACCGCCATCCAAGAAATGCAACACCTAACGCAGTTGCCCCGTATACATGTTAATATGTTGTACTAGGTTCCAGCATAAGGAGACCCATCAAGCTACATGGCTGTCTCCAGATCGAAAAACGAGAAACCAAATCGACTATTTTGTGATAGACGGAAGGCATGCTTCCAGCGTTTAAGACGTATGTACACTCCGAGGACCAAACATCCACTCGGACTAATATGTTGTTGTAGCCAAGATACGCACCCGTCTCTGTGCAACAAAAAATGTGCGCCGAAAAGCTGCAATCACATCAGACGGCCAATTAATTCACCACTCGACTGACACACCTGCTCTCTGAGAGCACTTTTCAACAAGCGAGCAGTGGAACCACATTTCCCGATCATTAAGTACTGCTGCCGAAAAAGTAGTTGGATTTCAGCGAGCCCGAAAGAACAACTGGAACGATAAGGAATGCCAAGAAGCCGTAGAGAAAAAAGACGCCGCCTATAGGGTCACCCTGCGATCGGGCGCAACACGAACCATGTGGGACCGTTATAGGGAACTGAAGAAAGAAGCGAGACGTATTTGCACCAATAAGAAGAGAGAGGCCGAAATACGAGAGTGCGAAGAGCTTGAGATGCTGGCCGACAGGACGAACGCGAAAGCCCGAAAATTTTAGCAGAGAGTTAAGCGACTTAGGGAAGGTTTCAAGACCATGGCGAACACCTGTAAGAAAAACAATGGTGACCTAG